CCCCACCTATCCTCCCAGCACTAACCACCTAACCACCCCACCTATCATCCCAGCACTAACCACCTAACCACCCCACCTATCATCCCAGCACTCTGGGAGGCTGAGGCAGAGGATTGCAAGTTCTCATCTGGTGACTTGGTAAGACCCTGCCTTTTTTTTTGTACGAGGAATCAGTCAGGCACTATGCACTGAGCTACATCCCTGGCCAAGAGCTTGCCTTAAAATTAAAAATTAATTTGAAAAGGCAAAGGATGCAACTCAGTGTGAAGGCCCCTGGTTTAGTACAAAGGTTTAGGGGAAGGGAGAGAGAGAGAGAGAGAGAGCGAGACAGACAGACAGACACAGAGACAGACACAGAGACAGACACAAAGAGACAGATACACAGAGACATAGAACGAGAGACAGAGAGACAGAGAGACACACACAGAGACACAGAGAGACAGAGACACAGAGACACAGAGACAGAGAGACACACACACACACACACAAAGAGACAGTGTGAGACAGACTGCCTGTCAGAGAATAGATAATAACAACAAAGGAAGCGCGTGCGCGCGCGCACACACACACACACACGCACACACACAATTTGTAACCCAGCAGAAGGAAACACACTGTTGGAGCACATAAGCACTTCCTGCTTCCTGCTGGCAGGAGCCACGTGCTGGTGCGCACCGCCTGCCACCTCCCAGCACCGCGTGCTCCTCCAGCCGGGCGCCCCGCTCGCCTTGCCTGGAATGAGGTCCCCACCGTGCTGCCTTCCTGGAAGGACACAGTGCATGTGTACGGTGCGGAGGGCTGCTGGCGGGGCTCAGGCACAGTGCTCCCTGACCTTCTGGCCCCAGGAACAAGCTTCACGGAAGACAATTTTTCCACAGATCGGGTGTGCAGGGGTGTTTGGGTGAGTCGAGCGCACCACAGCCATCGTGCGCTTCATGGGTTCCTCTTGGGGAAGGTTGTGATGGCGGCTTGCGATGTAGCCCAGGCTGGCCCTGAGCTCGCGTGATCCTGCCTCGGCCTCCTGAGTGCCGGGATCACAGGCACGCATCACCAGGTCTGCGTATTTCTGCTCTTACTACATTAGGTTCTCATAAGGAGCTACAGTCTGCCTGCCTCCCTCCGGAGCATGGCAGGGTCCCGATACTGTGGGAATTGCACACGCTGCCAGTCTGATGGGTGGGAGCTCACGGTGATGCGGGGTGTGCGGAGCGGCCGGAAACCCAGATGCGGAGCCACCTGCCACTGCTTACACCCCGAGAGCCCAGGCTTGGGAGCCCCACTTTAGGGAGCGGGAAAGGCGAAGGGCTTGTGGTCACTGCCCTGTCACCTCTCTCGCAGCACTGAGTAGGGGCCGGAGTGCTCTGCATGAAGGGAAAGCGCTGTCCCCGCAGGGCTGCACAGGAAGGGCCGGGAGGGCCTGGGCTCCCAACGTGCCCGCGTCCGCCCACACTGGCCGGAGCAGCGCCGACACAGCCCATCAGCCACACTTCCGACCTGCCGTCTGCCAGCATGAAAGCCCAGTGCTCTAATAAATAGGACTTTATTGGGGGTTTAAAAAGCGATTGTAGACAGGATACAGGGTCCATCGCAGCGCTCTTGCAGCGGCTCTTCCAGAGACCACAGAGCAAGTTAAAAGCGGCGTCTGTGCCACGAAGCTCACCTGACCTGGGTGGGCAGAACCACTCAGTGACTCTTGGTCCCAGGGCAGACGGGGCGTGGGCAGCCCCACCCTCGCAGGTGTCCTCATAAGTGTCCATGCAGGTGTCCATGCAGGTGTGCACAAGGTCGTCCCTCAGGTGTTCATGCAGGTGTGCACAAGGTCGTCCCTCAGGTGTCCATGCAGGTGTGTACAAGGTCGTCCCTCAGGTGTCCATGCAGGTGTGCACATAGGTGTGCATGCAGGTGTGCACAAGGTCGTCCCTCAGGTGTCTACAAAGGTGTGCACACAGGTATCCATGCAGGTGTCCTTGCAGGTCATCCCTCAGGTGTCCCAGGTGTGTGTACAGGCCGCCCCCAGTGTCCTCACAGTGTCCCCTCAGGCATCCAGGCGCTCACAGCCTGCCCCACCCCATGGTGCCTTCACTTCTGTGTCAGGAGCTGTCCAAGATGACCAGGCCAGGATTCTCATCTTCTGCAGCTATGACAAGTGCCAGGGCTTCCTCATCCAGGTCAGCTTTTTTCAGTCTGGCAAAGAGAGAAAAGGCTCTGGCTCATGGCCACCTCGCCTTGCCCTCCTATCTGCCTCTCCCCCCGTCCAGGACAAGCCTAGGATCCAGTGTCATGCCAAAGGGACAGGTGTGCCCGTGATCTGCAGAGGCTGTGATATGTGCCCAGTGCCCGGCCTCTCCTGAACGACAGCAGCAGCCACCAGCACCAGCACCTGCACCCAGATTTGTCTCTATGCTCATTTCTGGGATGCAGATTCTCCACCCCAACAGTGGTGATTTCAAGCTGGCCACTAGACGTCACTCACAGGGTTAGGAAGCGAAGCCCAAGGAGTCCCTGACCCTGTGGGAGCCAGCTCTAGTGTGTTCCCGGATAGGCAAGCGCTCAGAACTGGGGACACACAGAGCACCACTTCCACAGAGACACCAAGGCTTGGGGAAGGACGTGAGTGGCCAGGAGGGAGAAAGGCTAGCGTGAGTTTCATTTGTTAAAAGAGAAGGGGCCAGGGAGATCACTCGGCTGCACGAGCCCTGCCTGGCAGGGGCAAGGTCCTGAGTTTGATCCCTAATACTGAAAAATAAAAATAAATAAAAAGAGAAGATGCTGACCATTTCTGTCCCCACAGCGCTCCTTATGCTGCCTAGTGGCCTCCCGGGTACCGTTATCGTCCCGAGTAGATGGGGACACTCGATCACGAAATCTGAGAGTGCTGCGGCAGGCACCACACTGGGCTACCAAGCCACCTCGAGCCAGGCAGAGGACTAGGCCCCTGCTCTGGTCCAAGGCCGCCTCGGCAGAAGTCACAACAGGGCAGAGAGAGAGCCAAGCACCCAGCATCGAGAGGGAGATGTCGGGTGGATGGCAGGATGGAGCCTGTGTCTTCCTAGGGGGACACACCAGATGCCTCCCCTTGCAGGGAGCACGGCCTGAGCCTGCCACGGCTGGGACCTGGTGGTGTCTGAGGGGAAGAGGAGGATGACCAAGACAGATGCAAGCTAAGGGCGTGATCCAGAAGCTTTCATATCCCTTACGTCTACATTATGGATTCCTTTCTTTCTTCGTGGTACTTGGGATTGAACTCAGGACCTTGCCGTTGCCAGGCACAAGCTTATGCCGGCTGAGCTACACTGAGAGTCATAAATATGCTTGCGTATACTGGAGTAATATAACTGTGCACAATGTAAGTTCAATGATAGCCTGTTTATCTGCACATAGATAAATATAAATTCGGTTATAACTGCAGATGCTCCTCAATTTATGACAGGGCTACACCCCGACTGACCCGTAGCCTAACTCCAACACCCTAGTCAGGACTCACGCAGCGCAGTGGCTCTGCTGACTCCAGGAGCGAGTCCTGGCTGCACGGAGACGGCTCGGGACACTCCCCTCTGCCTCCGGCCAGGCGGAACCACCTGACACCTCAGGCTTAACGCCAGGCCTGCAAGGCAGTACACATGGAAGAGCGCACCGCTTTTGGGGTGCTGCGTGGAAGTGAAAAGCAGAATGCCTGTGCAGGCCTGACAGGATGCTGGGGCACGCCGGGAGCCTGCAGCCAGGGCCCACGGGCCGCCGTGCTCACTGCAGACGCAGTCACGTGCTGTAATCCACACTGCAGTGGTGCCACGTGCCACGGGGCGCTGGCACGCGCCGCTGACCGGTGCCAGTGCCGGCAGGGTGAGGGCCGGGTCTCCCCTTCTTCCTTTGCAACAGCCTCAGACAGGGGCCAACAGCTCCATGGCCACAGGAAGGGGACATGAAAAGAATGAAGGCTCGCTGTGACAGTGAGGCAATCGCTAGGTACTGCACACCGCTGACACAAGTAAAGGTTAGAAAAGGGAAAAAATGACCAGTGCAGTGAGACCGCGCGGCAGGGGCTGTGGCTGGCAGGTTCTCGGAGCCCTCCTGACCCGGGACCTCCACACCCAAAAGGGCCATGCTGGCTCACCCAAGCACCTGCAAGCTGCATTCGGGGTGCTTCAGGGCCGCGAACAGCACCGCCAGCCCGCGGCAGTCCACGGCATTCTCCACCAGGTTCAGCGTGTGCAAGGTCCTGCTGCTGGTGAGCGTGGCAGCCAGAGCCTCACAGCAGGCGTTGGTCAAGCCGCAGTCCTCGAGCCTGCAGGAGAGGGAGCTGAGAGGCTGCCACAGCCTCGGGGACAGTGGCAGCCAGTCCCTCCCACCGGCATTCTCCTCAGTCACAGACACGGCCACCGCTGTCCACCTCCCTCTGCGTCCCTGCCCAGGACACGAGGCTGTGAGTTCTGAGCTTGCAGTTCCTCGTCTCTTGGGCTCCTGAGATGCAGTGGGGGCCAGATTGTGTCCCCACACTGATGTCCTGCCCCAGGGCCTCTGGCAGGGCAGTGCTGGGAGCCGCAGTCTTCACAGAGGCATCAGGGTGGACGAGGACACAAAGTGGC